GTAGCTGTGATGACCAGCATCATTTTCTTAAGACAACACTCAAGGATTTGTCATGATGGCTGGGCTTTCATTGGGTTTTAAGTGTCTACAAACAGCACCTTCAATTTAAACTTTCTATGAAAGTTCTTAAATTTAGGGAGTGGAGCCTGGGTAGCTATGACATTATAAAAGCCCTGAATATCTATTAGAAAAAAAAATGGGGCAGGGTGTTGGGGGGGTTGGGGGGGGAATTAGGCCATGAAGAAGGCTTCAGAGGTCCCTGCTGGCCCCGGGACAGATACCTGAAGTGTCCAACATTACAGTGAAAACAATTTGCTCTTAAAAGGCAGCGGCTTTAAGGGGAGAGTGGGATGGGGCAGTGGAGGCCAGGGCTCTTCCCTCCCCACTTCAGTTTTGGGTAGGGCTCTTAATTCAACCTAAAGACATCTTTCAACTTGGATAGTTGGGCCCTCAACAGCACCTTAAGCCTTAAGTCTGCTATGGCTTTGCAGCACAACAGCAAGAATGTTTAATATAGAATAAAAATGTCACCCCCCCAAAAAAAAAAATAAATAAAAGATTCTTGCATCCCCCACAAACCAATTCCTAGTCTAAAGTTAACCCATTACTTGTGCTGTTAATAATACTTGACTAATATGTAATTGGAAACCTAGATCCAAAAGACTGAAACGGAATCTCAACCCCAAAACAAAAACAAAATAAAAAGAGTAACTTGAAGTTAATGACATGTAGTTCAGGTCAACACAGATAGGAAGAGAAAGGGGAAGAGCAAAGTTGGGTAACAGAACACATTCAGTCGGTGCAGATGTTTATACAAAATGTAGTAGAACATCAGGAAAAGCTACACACGGATTCGAGTGTGCACCTCGGGGGCGCCAGATCCCTCCATGGCACATCCAAGCACAGGGAACTCAGGGAGTAGGCCATTCCTGTCATTCCAGTTTTAGAAGTTCCACATCAAAGATGAGAGTGGCATTTGGTGGGATGATGCCTGGTGCCCAGTGGCACCATAGGCATAGTTTGGGGAGATAGTCAGTTTGGCTCTCTGACCCACACTTATCTGGGAAACCTCTTCTTCCCAGCCTTGGATCACCTCCTGATTGCCTCGCATAAACTTAAAGGGCTTATTTCTGTCCTGGGAGGAATCAATTTCTTTCCACCTTCAAGCATCCCCGTGTAGTGCACCACGCAGGTCTGGCCACACTTGGGGAAGGTGCACCCGTCTCTGTCTCCAGGGGAGATGGTTTCCACCTGCACTCCCATGGTGGCAGCAGTGGGCAGGGTGTGGGGTGGGTGGGCAGCGCAATGGACTGTGTGGACTGAGAGCGGACCTGGTGATTGCTTGGCTTTGCCTTGTCTCCTGTTGTTGCAATATTGGATTATTTTCTTAATTTCTCTTTCTCAGAGTTCATTGTGGGTATATAAAAATGCCACCAATTTCTGAATATTAATTTTGTATCATGGTATTTTTCCAAATTCACTTATTAGATCTGATAATTTTGGGGGGGAGTCTTTAGGGTCTTTTATGTTCAATATCATATTATCTGTAAAGAGAGACAGTTTTACTTACTCCTTTCCAATTTAATTTCTTCTTGTCTGATTGCTGTGGCTAGGACTTCCAGTTGTATATTGAATGAGAGTGGTGAAAAGTGGACATCCCTGTCTTGTATCTGATTTTAAGTTTTTGCCTATTGAGTATGATGCTGTCTGTGGTTTGGCATACATCACCTTTATTATGTTGAGGTATGAGCCCTCTATTCCCACTTCGCTGTGAGTTTTTATCATAAACTAGGAGTCCAGCGCATGAAATCGCACGGCCTGCCCACCCACCTGCTGCCTTGCCTTGACTCCTGGACCTCTCCACCCAGAGCTCCAGCGTGCCTGGCCCAGCCCCCTGACGACTCTGGCCTTCTCTGGTTGCTTCAAGCCCTGCCCTTGGTCCCTTGAGTTGCCTCAGGCTGGTTCCGCCTTCTCCGGGCACCTCCCCGCTTCCACCCCGTCTCCGGGAGCAACACCCCGCCGTGCACATGCAGGCAGTCTCCTCCTTAGCGGTCATTACTGTGACACTGTTAGGACCAATTAGCATATTACCTCTTTGCATATATAGATGAATGCTATATTTTATCAAATGATTTTTCTGTACCTACTGATACAGTCTTCTGATTTTTATCCTTCAATTTGTTTATGTGTTATATCATGTTTACTGATGCGTGAATATCGTACCAACCTTGTATCTCCTGAATAAATCTCACTTGATCATAGTATGTGATCTTTTTATTTTTTTATTATTATATTTTTAATCTTTATTGTTGAGATTATTACAGATGTCCCTCTTTTTTACCCCCATAGCTCCCTTCCACCCGGTCCCCACCCCACCCCAGGCC